AGACTGAGATGTTTGACGTCCCGATGTCACAGTTAGCCCGGCTACCTTCAGTTTTACCTTAATTTTTGGTTCGATTTACGCAGAATGAACTTACTTACAGTATCTTGAAGTCTTGCAGTGGTATGCTTGGGTTTGGGTTTAATTTTGTTAATTATATAAAATGATTATATAATTAATAAAATGAAGATGGATGAAATGGAATTAACAAATTGAAGATGGATGGAATGGAATTAACAAAATGAAGATGGATGGGTGCTGCCATCTGGCAGCACCCATCCATCTTCTCTATTCAAATTAGGATGTTTTTTTTTAATTTCAACAGCCTCGCATATCATCCTTGGTAGGAATCGGTGTTCTTTTGCAAGGATTTGTGGTCTATCAAATCTGATGTAATGGCGGGGACGATCTTGAACATGTTCACAGACTATTTATTTAGTTAATATTAAAAAACTGAAGGTAGCCGGGCTAACTGTGACATCGGGACGTCAAACATCTCAGTCCATCCCGTGACCATAGGTTGCTGTAAAGTACCCGAAACGTCGGGAATTAAAATAGTAAATTAAACGCGATAAAATCCGTAAAAAATAGTTTTATTCAAAGTTTCATTAATTAATTGTATGACTACCCTTGTAATATTTTCAATTTCATCATTTGTGTTGTGTCTTTTTAGTCCATTTCTGCCTAAAAGTCTGTCTGGGTCAGAGCTTTTATATCATTAAAGACCTAGTTTTAATCGCCAAATAAAAGGTATCCATGAAATAAATTATAACCTGACTGGACATAAAAGAGATACAATTAAACAATTTTATTCCTGTAATTTTTAATTTGTTTGTGCTATATTTTAACCTATAAATAACTTTTATCTGAGGATAACGCATCTGCATTTTCATTCTTAATCGGTGATAGAAGTAGATGTCGATGGGCCACAGCAACCACTTACTATGAGTTGTACTGTGTGCTCATTTGTCGAGCTCACTTTTTTTTTATAGAATTAGGGTGACAAACGAGCACACAGTCCACCTGATGGTAAGTAGTTGCTGTGGCCCATAGACATCTGCATCTATCCTCGTTTGTGAATTAAAATGCAGATGCGTTGTCAGCCTTGAGGACTAAGATAGAATGCCTCTTTTTCAGTAAAATGGGTCTTCGGTTCTCTACACTCACCGTACGAAACACAGCAGCATTAAGCTGCTATTTTACGCTGGTATTCTGTGAGAGCGTGGTCCTTCCCCGGTCGAGCCGACCCATTCGTGCTACAACTATACTATTAATATAGCTGCAGCATGGCTCTACCACGTAAAAAAATTTTATAATAAAAATGTACTGATATGGTCAAACTGTAGCAATCTTACTTGATAGAGCTGTTATTCATTCTCCCTTGAGAGTTTGCTATGTGCCTATTTGAAAATTTATAAATCCTATTTTTAATACAGTAAATAATTTTAATCTGCATTTTGCATCTACATGTATTGCCGGCAAGCAGCGATACACGTTACACGCACTTATCGAATAGAATAGAATAGAATAGAATAGAATATTGATTTATTTGCATTGAATGTAGTTTTTAACAATAAGGTGTTGACATGACATAGAAGATCCGTACATTCTACCATTTTGGCATGCAAATATTAAATTAAAATTATGCCTATATAACACTAGTAATTAATTATAAATAGATTTAAAATTATAATTATGAGTAAAAATAGTTATTACATTATTATAATTCAAAGTATTGCATTATTATTATTATTACATATATTTAGATTGTTGAAATTTTATTGCAGTTAGCATAACACATTATAAATTATTAATACAAACAACATATTATAAAAATTAGAAGTTCGAATATAGCCCGGGAGCGCTTATGCACACAATATCTACGGCCCTTCCAGTGCCGTAGCCGCCCCATAGCGGCACGTCCTTGGAAGAGGACCACTTCTTAGCCAAAGCGCATCTAAGTGGAATGACACCTACTTCACTGTTGGACATGGGCCTCTCCCACTATATTAGAGGGTTTACCATATTCTCCCCACTTCCCACGTGATTTTGACGGTTCCGTGGTGTAGTGGCTTAACAATGAGTTGAAGCGCTGAGGGCCTCGGGTTCGAATCCCGCACGGAGCAAGTATTTGTATGGCCTACAAATAATTGTTCCGGGTCTGGATGTTTGTCCTCGTGAAATTTATGTTTGTAAACTGCATCCACGATACAGGGGATAATCTTAGTGTGGGGGTTACATTTTTTTAAGAGAACGACACTTGGCGTTTGCAGTATCAAACTTCTTGCGCCTTTAATAATTCTTACCTACGTCCATCTGAGTATTTTTATGGGTTGGCTCGACTGGGGTAGGATGACGCTTGCACAGAATTCCAGCGTAAAGTAGCTGGTTAATGCTTTTGTGTTTCGTGTGGTGAGTATAAGGAACTGGAAACCCTTTTTACTAAAAAGGAGGCATTCAAGTCCTCAGGGGTGACAACGAGTCTGCATTTTGATTTTTAATCGAGAATAAATGTAGATGTCTATGGGCCACAGCATCCACTTACCATCAGGTGGACTGTGCTCATGTTTGTTACCCTTAATTTATAAAAAGTAGATATGGTTATACAACTATCTGTCGAAAGCGAGGAGAATTTTTCATTTGGCATTTCCTAAAGTCGTCTCTTACACTGCTCACGAGACGAAATAGAATGACTTCAGCTATTACTCATCCATCCATTACAGTCTATAAAAGTCACTGCCGAACATAGGCCTATCCCATAGGTTGCCTTATAAGAAGGATTTTGCTATAGTTGCCACGCTTGGCAGGTGGGTTATCAATCACAGTTTATTTTTTATTTTAAGCCGTTATTACTAAAATGCTGCTATCGTACTTCAGTTTTGGTTTCCCTCTTTCACCTTTTATGACACACGAGACGATGTGACAGTGGATATTCGCGGCCGTGATGTTGAAATTTGACGGCTGAAATTAGTCTAACAATTGCTCTGAACACTCCTGCGATATATATGCAAAGGGATGTGAGATCGCTTAAAAGCGCTCGTGAGTCAAGCCGATCAGAAAGAACTCGGTCGTCGACGATTCGGGCCGTCCTTCACTGGATGCGGTCAAGTGGCAGGAGTTGGAACAATGCGATGTCCCAGCCCAAAGATGAGAAATAGTTTTCCCAGCGAGGACGATAGGCCTTGTCAAGTTGCGAGCGGTGTGCCGGCATGAAACACTGCCCTGTTATACTGAACACGTGAAGCATTTTAGAGGCCAATTTGGTCTTCCCACATCTGTCTAACTGAACGTCTATTAGTATGTCGACATCAACGATTCCGACGCTGGCCGAGATAACAAGGGGAAATCGCTGAAATTGAGTAGACACGACAAAGGGGTTCTTTTTAGCAGTAAGCGCTTAACCCTTCTTATGCTTAAGTCTTGTGGAGGTTAAGTTGGACTAGAGTTATTCGTCGCCCATCCAGTACTTTGTTTAGCAAAGATTTGACTTCGGACACAAGTTTGTTCCGGCACTCAACTACGTGTTTTCGAGAAATATTACCACGGCCCGTGTATAAAGCATCGCCAGTGCTGCCATCTACATAACAATGAATGTTACTAGTTTGCAGCCTTGTAGAATACCAGCACTCACAGACTTGCAGTCGAAGCATGTACTTTCGACTACGAACTTAATGTTCCGATCTGTGAAAAAACTGGTGACCCATTGCATAACTTCTCGTGAAGCCCATAACAGGGAAGTATTAAAATAAGCGCTTTGTGCCAAACCCTATCGAAGTCCTTCGCTACGTACAAAATAACCGTCAACCGAGCCCAAGAGGGAGGTCGTTAGGCTTGTCTGCCTGCCATCGATGTGTTAGCTTAACTAGATCACGAGCTGAGCCACCCCGACGGAAATCTTACTCGCGGTCACTATGCAGTTGGTGGTCCTCAAGGTAACGCATGAACTGGCAGTTAATAATCGATTCTATTATTTTATAGAACAAGGCGGTGATGGCGATAGGCCTGTAGTTGGACGGATCAGAATGGTTACCTTTTTTAGGGATCGAGGGTGCACGAAAGCTGTCTTCCATGACTTCGGAACTACGCCGGAAGAGTAGATGTAACGAAAACGACGCGTAAGAAGCGTGGCAAATCCGGAGCACACGTCCTTAGTACAATTGTGGGGATTCCGTCAAGATCATTTGACTTGTGGATGTCCATGGAGAGGAGTGCTTTGCGTACTGAACACTATATGAACCGCGCATCCGTTATGGAGTAATCACAATGAGGAATAGTCGACGGTATGTTACCCACAGGGGGGGATCACAGGATCGAGAGTCGAGTTAACGCGAAAAGGGAGCTTAAAAGGTCGGATTTCTGCTTTGTGGAAAAAAGTTATTTGGTTTTCTGTTAAGAAATCATCAGTAGCAGCTCGTAAAAGAAGTTTGTAGTATTGGCGTCATATCGGATTATGAGAGGGAGGGAATACAGAGTGCATCTGTGCTTGCTCACACACTCATGCACTTTAATCCTGTCCTGCGCAGATGGCTCGTCTCCGTTGAGACGGCCGCCGTGACTGAAATTCGGTCTAAAGGACCTTATTCTGACGTTTTAAAACAAACGTTTAATATCTTTAGCTACCACAGCTCTACTTAATTACTATAATAATAAAAAAGGAATTTCATTAATACTACATTGAAATAATAAATACATTTATTGTACTACGTTATAAAAAAGGAGTAAACTGTAATACAATTGTCCATAAATCACTACAACAATAAAAATACAAAATATTGAAAACGTAAAATTGGTTTGTATTTTATCTCAACAAAAGATTTTTAACAGACTTCAAAAACGAAGGTAAGTAATGAAGTGAATAGGTATACTTCTTTTTAATAAAACAATATTTTTACATACGGATATAATACAATCTTCATTGAAAATCAATCACACAACTTAAAATTATGTTTCGACAAAATGCACTAATAGACGCATCGAGCACAAACAAATACGCGATCTATTGTTTATATCTTATGGCACATTTTCCTGTACCACTCCGGGTCGTTCTTGGCGAATGTTTCCGGACGGCCGTCAGTATGCCGGTAGTGGAACTCGGAGACGCCGCGGCCGCTCACTCCGTTGACAACGAACTTGCAGAACCTCTCCACCATACGCGCCTCCCACTCCGCGGACACGAAGTGTATCGACTCGTATTCCACAAGCACCTGAATCGATAGAAGAAAATAGAATATAATCATTTTTATTCAATATAGATCACAAGTATACTTATTGAAAGTCATTTTAATTTTACCACTGGTTCGGTAAAAAACTCTGTCCTGGGACTTTTTTTAAATATTAATATTTTATACAGTTAATTAAGAAAACATTTAAAAACAGTATGGTAGCGATCACCTCATTCCCAGGGGTCATTATCATGTACTCTTTGGTAGTATGATAACCCTTATTAAACAGTTTTTGCTTAATAAAAACATTTGCTTGATAGAAATCTTACTTATTTGGACATTGGAGGGCAATTCAGACAAAGACGTATTAAAAAATATAGACAGGTTACACACTAACATTATTGCATTTTAAAGTGGCGCAGGTAGTACTATATCTACGTACAGTTATTTATTATGACACGTTGCGCTTACAAAAAGAGACCAAATAATACGGCATACCTATCGTTAGAAAAAGATGAATATACATCATTAGTTGCGTATTGATTGCTGCTGAGCGCTCATTGGCGCGAGCGCGTGACATACCGATATGGAAATGAACGCACAAGCTAGCGTTAAAGTTTACACTAGCGATTAGTATTGAAATAATAAAACCAATTATGAACAAAACATCTATGTTCAAAATATTAATGAGACTTTTTCTTGTCTCTAACAGTTGTCGTGTAATTTGTGCACCACCTAAAAACACAGGAAGGCATTTTTACCACGAATAACTAGAACATTTACGCACTGAAGCGAAGGTATAGCCGCGACGAGAGAGCGTGCCCGAATAAATGCGAGTCGGGCAATTACCTGACTTTCGTATTGCCATTTTAGAGCGAGTATGACGTATTTATACTTTAAAAACTTAGAATTCAGACCGATTACTATGGCTTCATAAATTTATTTATTTGTATCGTATTAATTTTTTTTTATTTTTTTTGAATAAGTTACAACAACAAACAGTAGTTATATACAGTTCTAAAATAAAATAGTGTTGATCTCAATTACAGTCCAAAATAGTGTACACAGCATTATTATAAAGAATTATCCGTAGTAAAAAGTAAATATATAAAAAAAATACATTAAATATTGAGAAGAAACAAAACTAAAAAGGCTACTATTGAATGTGTAGCTAGATGAACATTACTAAACTTAATCACATCGTAGTTACTTAATCTCATCATTTATATATATATTATTCATTACAGCTCCTTAGAATCTGCTGATCAGAGGCCTCTTCCATATGTTGCAAATTGCAACAAATTGCGGTACCGAGCCATTGCCCAGTCCCTAGGTTAGTTTCAAATAAATTCAGCACTAATTGCTGTTTACTGGTGTTATAAAAATATCTACCTACTACCATCCGGTGGGTATAAGAGGCGACAGAGGAGAACTGAAACAGGAGATGGGCAGCAGCATCTTCCTGATAAAAATTCAATAATTATAAAAGGAACTGAGGTTTCAAATAATTAAGATCTGACGGCGTAAGAGAAAGCTATGGGGCATTTTATCTTAGTCGTCAGAGGTGACACTACATCTGTGGCGTCTTTGTTCCTTGTTTGATATTTGACATGATTTATATAAAAATTGATTTAAGATTATATACGGTTATATAAGGACAGTGCAAAAAGCATTTAAAAATTTTGCTCTCTAATTTCTAATTGGTATTATCTAGTTTATGCACCAGTTTTTCACCAATCAATAGTATTCTTTCAGATGTTACCAAATACTCATTGTTGTTTCCTATATATTTGGTTCTAAAATAAAATAAATAAATAAAAACCGTACAATTTGTGCCAAATCGGAGTAATACCAATTATTGATATTGAACACGACCACTAATTTTCGTTATTACTCGTATACGCGGAGAATAATCATTATCGCAAGTAAGTGCTTTCGCATATCTATACAAATAAATAAAATTGAAGTGTGTCTTTGTAATGTCAAAATTACAGCTTTTTACTAAATGCAGATGAAAGCATATACGGTACTAACAAAAATACAAATTTTAAAATTTTTGTCTGTCTGTCTGTCCGTCTGTCTGTCTCTTTGTTCTGGCTAACTTACGAAACGGCTGGACCGATTTTGACGAGATTTTCACTGGCTGATAGCTGATGTCACAAGCAGCAACTTAGGCTACATTTATTATAGAAAAAGAATTAGGGTTCCGCACAAAATATTAAAACCCCAAGTAACACTCGGGCGAAGTCGCGGGGAACAGCTAGTCAGAAATAAAAATATTTAATATAACCTGAGTCGTGTAGACTTCATCTCCGGCTTGGAATCTGAAAGCGTAGTCTCTCGGAGCAGTGCCACACTCCCCGTGCTGGTACAGCTTCAAATCCACCCACTTTATCGGCAGGACGTCGCCATTCGGCGACGCCACCACACCGGCTTCCAATCTGTATTCATACAATATGAAACAGTACGTACAGGCCAGCTGATGGTAAGTGGCTTCTGCAACCCATTGTCACCTGCAGCCGACTTCAAAATAAAAAGACTATAGATGCGTTGTCATCTCTGATGACATGCGGTAATGTTACATACCTCTTTGTTATTCCATTGAAAAGGTAAGTAGTCATTTATTTGAATGCTGGCATTTAACTAAATGCCACAGTCCAGAATCGTAAGTAGTATTTAATTAACTGGCTGCTTAAACAATTAACAGTGGTAGAGCCATGCTGCAGCTATATTAGTAGTATAGTTGTAGCACGAATGGGTCGACTCGACCGGGGAAGGCCCACGCTCTCACAGAATACCAGCGTAAAATGGCAGCTTCATACTGCTGTGTTTCATATGGTGAGTGTAGAGAACCGGAGACCCAGTTTACTGGAAACGAGGCATTCCATCTTCGTCCTCAAGGGTGACGACGCATCTGTATTTTGATTCTTTGTTGAGGATAAATGATAATGTCTATGGCTAAATGTCTATGGGTCAGAGCACCCACTTACCATAAGGTGGACTGTGTGCTCGTTTGTCACCTTATCCTATAAAAAAAAACAAATTGGATTTTTAGGATAATTATTACATTTTAGTCAAAAATATTTAAAAAAAAACTGTAGGCTACAAATAATATGGTAAATTATAAAACTTACGTAGTTGCAGTTAGCGGCTGACAGATGACTCCAACGCTAATACTGGTTCCGTTATTGAGGAATATGTGGTGGAAGGCGTAGCGGTGCATCAAACTCCAGTCGCGTTTGTGACCTTGATCAAGTTGAAATAATTATCATTATATTTTTATACCTATATACAAGGTTATTTTTAGAGATGAAACGGATAGGTGTTTGGCCGGAAACTAGATACCGGATATTCAGCCAGTTTAATCGCCGGATAGCCGGATATCCGGCCGCCGGATATTCTGAAGAATATTTTCGTTTGGTTCATTACAAAAAGTGAACTTGCGTAAGTGGCACTAGTAGTGGCGATCGTGTGCACGCGTAACTCTGGCGGCTTCAGGTCTTTTGGATCGAAGCTAAAAGAGCTCGCCAGGAAACTATTGGACTAGCAGTTCATCTCCAACACCGTCTAAAAATAGTAGAGGAGAGGAGACAGAGTCGGTTGTATCTCGCGAAGCTCATTACATGTTCTGGGATTGCTTCAATGAAGTAGGAAATGAAAATAATATCAGCCAGTCTCACCATGAACAAAGAAACGCGATTGCATGTGAGATTGATTTTTATCTAAGGTCTGTGCGAATTGCACGCGATCGTGACCCTGATATTTGGTGGGCAACCAATGCTACACAATACCCTAACTTATCAAAGTTTGTCATAATCTATCTTTCAGCACCATGCAGCAGTGTGTACAGCGAAAGACTTTTTTATGAAGCTGGCCTTGTTTAGGAAGACAGGCGAAACCGCTTATTACCTTTCAATGCAGAGAAATTACAAATTAGTATTTATTTACCATAATTTGCCTAGTGAGTACGAGTACTATTTTTCTAAGTTTAAAAAAAATTGTGATTATTGATTATACATATTTGTTAAGTCGCAGAAGAACACAAAAACTCAGAAAAGCTCATAAAAAAACAGATTGATTTCGTAATTGAGCACGAACGAGTCAGCATACCTAGAGTAGGACTATGTCCACGCAAAATCTTCTTCCTCCTTTTCTTCTACCTTTTCTTCTTACCTTATATACATCAGTAAAGTTTTTCTTATAGAATGAGAGCTAAAAACAAGCACACAGTCAACCTGATAGTAAGTGGATGATGTGACCTATAAACACATTTTTTATAGGAGAGTGAGCAAATGAGCATACGGCTCACTTGATGGTAAGTGATTACCGGCACGCATGAACAACTGCAACATCATGGAAATTGCAAATGCATTGCCGGCCTTTTAAAAAGGAGTACGCTCTTTTCTTGAAGCTTCGTAAGTGTATCGACCCGGAAAAATCTCTCGTGGTAGTCGATTTCACTAGGAAGTTGTGCGAGGAAGAAAACTTCTTTCTAATCGCACAGTGGTTGACCGCCAGTCATCCAAATATTATGGATGGTATCGCGAGTTTTGAACCTACCTCTTTATTTGATTATGAGTCAAAATTTAACTGCGTTTCACTCCTGAAGAAGAAGATAGAATGCCTCATTATCATTAAAAAAGGTATCCTGTCCTTAAACTCACTGTATGAAAAACAGTATTAAACTGCTGTTTTAAGCTGGTATTCTGTGACAGTGTGATCTTTCAAACCAGTGACCGGTAAAGCCGACACATTCGTGATACAAACAAAATACACCTGCAGCGCGCTGCAGTAGCTCTGTAATGTTAAATAAAGAATCTTGCCAGCTTTTCGTTTTTCAACTTTATAAATCACACTCTTAATCTCATGACTGTTAGATGGGAGATGAAGCTACACTCTTCAACAGATTTAACAGCATACAGGCAACTGAACAGACAGATCTTCAAATGCATGCGGCGGGACTTACGCAACTTCAATACAGTTTGTATTGAAGAAGCGATCGAGCGGAACCAAGGCCCCATAAATTTTTTCCAGAGATCTGCCTGCCAGAAAGAGCCAACTGTCAAAGCTGAAGACCGAGTGTGGCAGTATCGTTTCCGGGACACCTGAGATTTTGAGTGAGATTGAGAGGTTCTATGGGCAGCTGTACATGTCATCGTTGGAGCCACACGCAAGTGTGAGTAACGATCCAAAAGCGAGTCTTATTCGACACTATGCCCAAGATATCTCGGACGTCAGTCTGAGCGAGATTAGAATGGCTATCCAGCACCTTAAAAACGGCAAGTCCCCGGGCAAGGATGGAATTACAGCGGAGCTTCTGAAAGCGGGTGGAAAACGGGTACTTGAAGTCCTTCAGAGGCTCTTTAATTCCGTCCTCCATGGTGGCATTACACCAGAGAGAGAGGCGTGGAGCAGAAGTGCGGTGGTCTTGTTCTACAAGAAAAGTGACAACGCCCTCTTGAAGAACTACAGACCGATTTCCCTTCTGAGCCGCGTCTAAGTGCTGTTTTCGAGAGTCATTACGAATCGTCTCGCGCGCAGACTTGACGACTTCCAGCCTCCCGAACAAGCCGGTTTCCGAAAGGGCTTTAGCACCATAGACCACATACATACCCTTCGGCAAATTGTACGGAAGTCCGAAGAGTACAATTTGCCACTATGTCTGGCGTATGTGGACTATGAGAAAGCCTTTGATTCCGTCGAAATTTGGGCGGTGCTGCAGTCCCTTCAGCGGTGCCAAGTTGACTGTCGGTATATCGAAGTGCTGAAGTGTTTGTACAGTAGAGCTACGATGGCTATCCAGATACAGAATCAGAGTACGAAACCTATCCAACTGCAGAGAGGTGTAAGACAGGGTGACGTTATATCCCCGAAACTCTTCACCGCTGCATTGGAAGATGTTTTCAAGCTTCTGGACTGGAAAGGATGCGGTATTAACATCAATGGCGAGTACATCACTCACCTTCGATTTGCCGACGATATAGTCCATATCGCAGAAACGTTGGAGGACCTAAGCACTATGCTCAATGACCTCAATAGTGTCTCCCAACGGATAGGTCTTAAGATGAACATGGACAAAACAAAGATCATGTTTAACGTTCATGTCACACCTATACCGGTAGTTGTTGGGAGCAAAAATTATTCCTGCCCTTGGTAAGCTTGTGTGGATTATCTTTATTTGCAGTACTGTAATGTCCCTTATATTTTAATCAATATATTCAGTAGGCGATATTTTGCAGATTTTTTTTTAAGATTTTCACTGTCATAATTTTAAAAGTTAAGGGTAACTGACTTTTATTTCCCAAAATACTGCCCCCCTAAAATCTTAAGCTTCCGGCCGCGGCCACTGTTATGCTACTCCACCAATCCATCAATACTTAGACTATGATATTTGTGTATAAAATTGTAAGAAAATACCGAAGCTGTGATCCCTGAAGGAAGGTAGCGTCAGCTCGAAGGGTTCATTGTCTATCTTGAACTTGCACTTCAACACGCCGAATTGTTCGTAGTGCGACTGGTGGGCGCTGTAAGAATTATAGGCGCTGTATAGCTTTTTTTAAAACACGTTATACATACTTGGATTTTATTCTACATTAGCGATCCGCTCCGGCTTCGCACGGGTGATTTCAGATATTGATAACAGCGCCGCCTACTGGGTTCAACTTAATCATACACACAAAATTTCATCAAAATCAGTCCATCCGTTTAGGAGAAGTTCAGTCACATACACACGGACAGAAGAAATATATAATATACTAGCTAGCCAGACAGACGTAGTTCTGCCCTTTTCGTCGACCCTACCTATAAAAAACCTTAATAATATTGGGTCAATTATCGAGTTAAAAAGTATCCTATCTCTCAATTTGGACCACACTGCACACAGTGTGCAAAATTTCATTGAAATCAGTTCAGTAGCTTAGGAGTTCATCGCGGACAAACGATGTGACACGTTATTTTTATATATAAAGATAAAGTTGTATTTATTAAATATATAAACCTTCCTCTTGAATCATTCTCTCCATTAATGTAAACCGCATGAAAATCTGTTGGGTAGTTTAAAAGATCTAAGCGTACAGACGGCGGGAAGCGACTTTGTTTAAGTTTTGTACTGTAGAGATCGTTATTAAGTTTTACTCGTTTGAATTCATACACACGGGTTCGAAAGAATTTAATATAGTACGTTTAGCAATTGCACTTGGATAAGCACTTAGACAGAAAAGAACAGTTAAAAGAAAAACTGTACAAAACGGGTTATTATAATATCAAGGAATACATTAATGAAAATAACCCCTGGGAATAGGGTGATCGCCGCCATGCTGGTTCTATGAAAAATCATTTAAAAATTGTATAAACAAAATTATTGTTAAGTGAAATTATGTTTAAAAAAAAGTGCCGCTGGGTTTCTTGCAGGTTCTTCCCAGGACAGAGGTATTTTCCGAACCAGTGGTAAATAAAAAATGACTTTTAATAAGTATTACGTAATAATCAATATTGAATAAAAAATTATTCTATTCTATTCTATTCTATTCTACTCAACTAGAACGCAACGCTGTATTGGTCTGTCCGCTGCCTTAATGCGTACAACACACACAATATGAAAAAAAACGTCGTTACTGCACAAACAAAGTCGTATGCACTGTCCCCAGGTGTATTATGTAATGTAAATAATTTAAAAGTCAATCCTAGTGACAAAATAATAATTTGTATTGGAGAAAACAATTACGATAAGAAAATTACAGCTGCAAACCTACACAGATTAGTAAAACAGTTTATTAAACATGACATAATAGTAGTAAATATATTGTCGAACAAGTGCTTGAATGTAACTGACTTGAACCACAGTATAAATCTAATCTGTAATGAATATCAAAACTGCCGCTGTGTCAACTGTAACTCTAGTATTCTTTTTCAGCTAAGTCTATTAATTATGATTGACTGTGTCGATTATGAACGCAACTATCTCAACCCTAAGCAGCTGAGAAAATTTATAGTGCGCGGTATGTCTAATGGCGGCTCTTCACGTTGGCCAATATAGTGGCGAATGTGTTGGCAGAGTTATTGGCCCAGAAATTGTGATCGCGTCCACACCTTGGAAGGTCGTTCAGTTTGCTTCGGTTCTAGGGGGACTAGTGAACATCTAGTTACCCTAGATGCAATTTCTAATTCTAATAACTCTCTCTTTAATGTTCTGTGATAACATTTACACGTGGTAGAGCCATGCTGCAGCTATTTTAATAGTATAGTTGTAGCACAATGGGTCGGCTCGACCGGGGAAAGACCACACTCTCACAGAATACCAGCGTAAAATAGCAGTTTAATGCTGCTGTGTTTCGTATGGTGAGTGTAGAGAACCGGAGACACTATTTACTGGAAACGAGGCATTCCATCTTAGTCCTCACGGGTGACAACGCATTTGCATTTTATTTCGCAAACGTGGATTGATGTAGGTGTCTATAGGTCACAGCAACCACTTACCATCAGGTGGACTGTGTGCTCGTTTGTCACTCTATACTATAAAAAAAACACTCCTAGCGTGAATTAGAAGTGTAAAAAACCTCCACTCGCCCATCATTCCGTGGCATGGGTATCGTAAAAGGTCACAGGGGGATATGAAGCAGATGATGGAAAGCAGCACCTTTCTGATAACACTTCTAAATAATGATAAAAATTGCAGTATTCAAGTCGCCTCTTAAGCGTGGCAAGTATCCCTACGGGACAATCTATTTGGGAGGCTTAGTGAACGCTTGAATTAATTATTATAATAATAAATTATTAAGAATAACTCAAAAACTATTGATCTGACCTGGACCACACGAGAAGTACCAGCTTTCAAATAAAAAAGAATCTTCAAAATCGGTGCACCTAGTAAAAAGTTATGATATACACATAAAAAAAACATGCAGTCGAATTGAGTGCCGTTTCCTTTTTGGAAGTCGGCAGAAAAGTAAAAACGCTTGCTGTGTGATGGTGGCGTAGGAGAATCCACCACCTTATTTCGTCTCACAGCGGCTCTTCACGTTGGCCAATATAGTGGCGAATGTGTTGGCAGAGTTATTGGCCAAGAATTTGTAATCGCGTCCACACACGTTGGAAGGTCGTTCAGTTTGCTTCGATTCATGCCAATGTGCGGACGAAGTTATTAAAATGATTGTTGAAGCGCTAACGGCTGTTGCGGTTTATTTATTCACAGCATACCACTATTTTTTATTTAATTTCCACTATATTTAATATTTTTAATATAAATTTTTAATATTTCTTTATTATACACTAACGTTATACAGATAAGTAAACTATATAAACATTAACACACCTAGGCATAGGTATAATTAAGGCCTGGAAAATATTCGAAGCCTGTCTATGAAACTGTTGTAAATTATTTATTAAACAAAACCTTTTTAAAAAGGGTTATTATATAATTATAGAATATATTTATTTATTTACACTTTCATGCACAAAGTAGTACATATGGCGAACTTAATAATAATAATAAATAATTTATTTCGTCAAACATTAAAGTTACATTATATGATCAGTGATTGAGGTCACCTAGTAAGCAAAATAATGCCTGTAACAGGTGACTTCGCTCTTCCATAGCTAAAAATTACAATATTATTAAGGAAATAAAGTACCTAACTAATAGGGAATAATAAAGACAGTAAAAACATGATTTTAGTATTCTAACTTTTAAGTTGATTTTAATATCTTACCTAGTCTCCTAGCATTAATAAATCAATAAATCAATGTATTAATTTATTTATTGATGTATTACATCAATAAATAAATTAATACATCAATCACTATTAACGTGAATGTGTATAAGATAAGGGTGATCAAAAAGAAAAGAAAAAAAAAAAAGAAATTTTATTTCTTGACGGCTCCATGGCGTAGTGGCTTAGCAATGAGTTGCTGCGCTGGAGGCCGCGGGTTCGAATCCAGCACGGAACAAGTAGCCTGCAAATAATTGCTTCGGGTCTGGATGTTTGTCCTTATGCAATTTATGTTTCTAAACTGCCTCCACGATACAGGAGAAAATCCTAGTGTGGGGGTAACGTTTTTTTTTTAAAAGACTTGTGTTTCACAAATAATTTTCGGCTTGGTAGGGCTTTATAAAACGAAAAGTTTTTTCATTGGTCATTGTTACTGCCGTTATGTAGAGATGCGTGCATATAAAATTTAAATCAGGTGCGTGCAATCACTCTGGGAGCTCGTAGCAAACTGAACGTGCGCCCAACGTGTGGATGCGGCGGCCAATACTCTGCCACAACCCTTTGATCTTTTGTAAAAAACCGACACCAGACGGATCTCGCGCCAACTTGTGGGCCATCGTTCCAATACGTACCAACGTAGCTTAAACACCCGCTCTACACGATGGCCATCGTTGTTGACCAACACATTCGCCAGAGTGTTGGTCAACGTGAAGAGCCGCCGTAACACGCAAAATATTCAAGTAGAACCAACAAAAGGAACCATTCCACATTTTTTTTCTCGCCCTACCAAGGAATAATAGCTCTAACGGTGCGTACACATTATATAACATAACATGTTATAAAACGTTGTTATATAATTCGAGATGCGACGGAGGCGTCGCGCGGTCATATGACAATGTCATACGACAATGTCATATAACATTGTTATATAGTATTGTTATTCTAATGTGTACAGTATTGTTATATGTTGCAATGTTGAAAAACAATGTTACATAATTTGGACATGTTATAAAAAAAAGTTTAACAACATGTTATATGTCTCTCTGAAACGTTTCAGAAAATAGGCAACGGAAAATATATAAATATCAATAATTATAAGTTGGCAACAGCCTTTTGTAGAGATAAGCAAAGTGAAGTAAACATGTGTCACCCACATGTATCTTAGTAAAAAAAAGTACATACCGGGAAATGACAAAACTAAATGCGTATGCAACCCAAAAGACTTTCGAGGTTTGTGGAATTGAAATATCTCTGCATAAATTAATAGTTAAATGGATGCTGTGACACATAGACATCTACATCTATCTTCGATTACGAATCAAAATGCAGATGCGTTGTCACCCGTGAGGACTAAGATGGAATGCCTCTTATCCAGTAAAAAGGGTCTCCAGTTCTCTATACTCACCATACGAAACACAGCAGCGTTAAGCTGCTATTTTACGCTGGTATTCTGTGAGAGCATGGTCCTTCCCCGGTCAAGCCAACCCATTTGTGCTACAACTATACCAGTAAAATAGCTGCAACATGGCTCTACCACGTAAAACGTCTTCCTACATAAGCTAGACCAACTATTATTTGACCTATCAAGTAAGCATAAACACGATACCAAAATTGTCTTCACTGGTGACTAACATCAACACGTTAAAAAAAGGTAATATTGCAAACTTTTTTAGTGATTTATGTCGTAATTATAATCTGGACATCCATATTAATGTATCAACTCGCAAAGATTCATGTATTGACCATGTCCTTAGCAATAACAAAGAAGAAGAAGTGTCTGGCTGTGATATTGAAATAACTGTCTTACATCGAGCTGATTATTTGCATATGCTATTGAATGTTGCCACGCAGGTATAAGCATTTTTAAAACTTTTGTCTTTCTATTTGTCTGTCTGTCTATCCGTGCTAATCACCGGAATAGCTGAACCAATTGTAATGAAACTTCATGAACAGATAGAGAGCAATCTCAAGAGTGATCTAGGTTACCTTTTATCCGAAAAACTTAAAAATTAAAAAAAAATTGGTAAAATAAATGGTCTTTGACTGTCTTCGATCTAAATAACGTCACATTGATAGATAACCTAACCTAACCAGGCAAAACTAGGGCGGGTTGATAGACTTTTAAAAAACTTTAAAAAAATGTTTACTTATATTTATAATAATTTAAAATTAAAAGTTTCGTATAACCGACTTCAATATAAAGATTAAGAAAACTAAATATAAAAAAAAACTATTGTTCAGACCTTGATCAAATATTACCACCTGTGAAGCACCAGCTTTTAAAAAAAATTGATCATCGAAATCTGTCCACCCAGTTAAAAGTTATGAGATAACACACATAAAAAAGACATACAGTCGAATTGAGTATACCGTATCCTTTTTGAAGTCGGTAGAAAAGATATGTTTTGTGTTGTAACTGGTAACTTACGTCTTAAGACCCTCAAAGTACTTGCGACTCCATTTCTCCTTAGCAATGGAACGGATGACCGCCGGTGGGTGAAGGTCGGTGTCATAATCGAAGTACTTGCTGGTAGCCATCCAATCACCGTGGAATTCCACGTCCACCAGCTTATTTGGATCATTCTGATACCTAGAATTTGAATTAAAAAAAAACAATTGCATACAATAATTACCAAATTCTACGTTTCTTTCTAGTATACCTAAATACCGAACAAGATATACGTCATTATTTGACGTACCACAAGCAAACATAAATTACGCAAATATTTTATTTGCGTCGTATTGAGCAAAACTATAGTACACTCCTGACTTGGATATTTCCAATCTATTCAAGAAACGCATCAAGCGCACTAATACCCTTAGGCGGGGATGCGAGCCAGGTAGGTACTGCGATGTCATGATGTTCAAATCCCGAAAACGGGGTAGCATTTTACTAGCTTCAAGAAAATGATGATGAACCTTGTATACCTACCTAGCCGTGTGGCGACGATGTAAGATAATAGTTTGGTGAGAGGCGTTTCTTTGAATAAATTATTTGTGTAATATAACGGCTGTTGATGACATAAGAAAATCCATTACAAAATGCCATCCCGTTGGTATCAGAAAGTTCTCGTGGCCTCCAACAAATAGTATATATATATACAGGGTTATTTTGCAATAACCCGCCAAATTTGCAAATAAGGTTCAGAAAAAGTAATATGGGCAAATTATAAAAAAAAAATTAAAAAATGTCAAACATTCTGTCCTTTTTATATTTTAAATTCAAAATGCGTGGTAATGCATAATTTTAACTGATTTTACTGCGGACGCAAACATTCGCAGCGGGGAATGCACTTGACGGACCTGCCCGCTGGATGTCTGTCAAGTGTACACTACACAGACTCGTCAGTTTATATGTCTGTGCCCGCGCAGACAAAATTGGATCGCGCGGACGTTCAACAGGCAAGTCTGCCAGACCGACTGTGACGGTCCTATACTATCAAATTCTGCACAGACCTATAGTAGCGAAGTCCGGCAGGCATGTCTACAGACATGCGCGCGGGCATGTCCGTCAAGTGAATTCCCCGCTTTAGAGTCGATCGGTAGACAAAAACGTTGTTGCCCATAAATCACATTCAATTTAGGATAAATTCAAATAAAAATAGAAGCCTTATTATTTACTCTTATTTTCAAAAACTGCAATAACGTAATATCATTATTTATATATTTGAACTTAAGTTTAAAATTTGTCTACTTTTTGAAAATTAACCAGGTACTGACAACCATCTTGTATACACAAAACGGAAAAAAATCCACAGTATTTACCGTTGGTCTGCTCTCGGTACGTCCTTTACGTGCGGTTGCCTTCCAAACGGAGATCTCGAGCCCCTCAAATACGAACCGGTACGAGTCCGGCATAACCTTTCTAATACCCCGCAGCTAAAGGTATCCATGAGAATTTCCCCATGATAAGAAAAGGTATTTACCGTTACAGCCTAGCAAAAGACTACTATGAAATTGGCCTCCCCCATAGATTGCCTCATAGGAGGGATATTTGACATAGTTGCCACGCTTGGCACGCATGTTGGCGACTGCAGTTTATAATATTTTAGTTGTTATTTGGGAGACGCTGCTACCTGTCTCTTGGTTTGTTTTCCTCTGTCACTGTCACACACTCTTACGAAAACTACGGGACTATATGGGGTAGTGGATATTCTTATAACGCTATTACACTATGTTCAGATGTGAGCTGCTACGGGAAGATAAAGAAGAAGTCAGATAAATTATCAAACTACAAACCTAACAATGCAATACAGCACGAAACTCACCACATTTGTCCCTTGTAAGACACCGTCCACTTCTTCATTGGCTCAACTGGTTCCATTTTAATGCCTTCCGCAGCAAACTCGCCTATTTGGGCGCCAAACAGAACTGTGTCTGGTATCTTCTTGCTGCAAAGGAGACCCTTGCCCGGTAACTGAAACGCAAGTATTTTTTATTAAGTTATTGTAAAACATACCTATACTATGTAATGTACTTACAAATAGATTCTGTATTGTTACTTTTGTTATTTCTTGAAGTTGCACGCATGTAATGCAACAAAAGATAGTGCATAAAAAGATAGCCATCAATTTTATGCACTATCCACGATATAGCCACGACTTTTTCTGCCACCAGGACGGTGCCACTAGAAAGTGAGGTATAATATTCGACAGACTTCATAGCAGGGAAGTTAATTTGTGTGGAAAATTTAAAGGTTATTGTTTTTTCTGTAATATTAGTTATATTTTATATTAATAAGATTAAAAAATAAACCAAACCACAAATATTCATAAAAGGAGAATTTTTTTAGAAAAAGTTAATATTGCGCAAAAAATTAAAGAGCAAACCACCGACGCATTGTTTTGTGTATTAATATAATACTCTAGAAACTGATAAACTTTTATTAAAAACCAACTTCTCAATTAAATGACATTGTGTAAATAAAAACTTTACCTCAGTGTCAACTAGCGACATCTGGTGAGCAGAAAATTATTGGCCCTCATTAGAATTAACTAACCTTGACTTATTAACGTATAGTGGCGGTGTAAGATATCAACTACTCCATATCGTTCCGTGGATGTCGAAAGAGGCGACAGAGGGAGACAAACCTGGAGGAGAGTAGCAGCCTCTTATTTATACCAACTGGAAAAAGTATTTCCCTTAAGGCGCAGGTTGAGCAAAATGTCGCGCTAGTCGTTATTTGTGCTGTTTTTAGGAGCTATCTACTTTTTATTTAAAAGATATATCAACAAATAAAAAACACATTATATTTCTACATAATCTTGATTCCATAAAAGCTATATCCAATTTTTTTTTAAAGGAATAAATATTAATATAATCTCCTTACAACGAAACCACATAAATGTGAAATTATTATTGATAACATGCATCTCCTCGTAAAGTAAGTATTATTTTATTTTGCGATTTACACCAATGGATAGGCAATTTATTAATGAACATTTCTATAGTAAATTTTTTTTCAAAAGACCAAAATTTGATTTTATTAAGAATTTATTTTAAAATCTGGGCATATTCACTGCTCACGGGCTTGCTGAAGTCAGTGAGCCCTGAGCTCTTCGACGCGAAGCCCGTGTCGTTAGAGCGTCGACCAGCACATACACTCACGTCATATTAGTCGATAATAATATTACTTATTAGGTTATTTATAGGTAGTATTATTTGTTTGTTTTGGGTATAATTTTTCGTATTAGTTATACATATATTTGTTGTGTTTTTTACTGCGCGATGAAGCTTTTTGCGTGTATTTTCTTTGAAGTAAATGCAAATAAAAAAATGAAGCACCATTACCATGTAAGGTTCGAATCCATAATTAAAATTTCGACAAATATTATAATTTACACTATAAAAGGCTAATTCAATATTGTCACCCAACCACAACATCTTATTAGGTATAGTACCGCCTCGTTGGTCTAGTGGTTGTAGTAGTGCGAGTGCTGATCATGAAGTCTCGGTTTCGAATCCCGGGTCTTGTCAAAAAGTCAGTTATGAGTTTTTGGCCCGTTTTTGTTTTTATTTATTGCTTGTTTTTTCTTCTTTTTCAAAAAAAAAAAATAATTGAGTACATAAGATGTTCTATACGCCGAATGTCAGAGAGAAAAGCTAGTACATCTTTTGCTAAACTTTAAAATCTAAAACCAATTTTAAAACAGACGAATTGATCATAACTCCCTTAGCTATAAAATAAGTTATGATCTAATTAATGGTATTTATTCCAATTTATGGCAGCTCTGATTTATATTACGTGGCTGAAATTAGGTACATCTTATTAGGTACGTCAAACCAAATAACAGCCGGGCGGCTGACATTATGCACTCCATACATTTCTTATATTATCTAATGACAGTCCCATTAATTTCCACTAAAAGAAAATAAATAACTTGTAAATTCAAACAAAAATAACTGCATTACTATGTCTATAGTCATATTCATACAAATCAAAAAGCCTATATATGAGATAATGTAAAGTAAGCATAATTTTACCGGGATCATATCTTGTCAAATAATTAGGAAAATAATCGTTTTTCGTTGCGTACCTGTTTTGAATTTAACACTGTTAGGTTTAAAACTGCGAGGTAATATTTGAATAAATATAGTTTCCTCTAGGTACAAAGAATTTTTTAGATGAAAATATTTGTAGTTAAGACTACTAGAAATCTTATTTATGGAGTAAAAAGGCGAAAAGACTGCAATTAGGGGCATGACTGGTATTAGGGGCTTGTACCCTAATTCGGTAAAAAGTATCTAAGTAGGTATTAATATACCTACTTTTTACTATAAACTAAAAAATTTTTTAAACTAAATTTAACTAAAAAAAACTAAAGTGACCATTTATTTTTTAACTCAAAACAGGACATGGGTTTATTTACACTCTAAAAACTATAACTTTACACAATTAGTGTTCAATATAAAATTATATTCGGTATAGACGGTAATTATTAAATGCAACATATTTTTTTTAATTATTAATTACATTTTTCAGTGGATTAAATTTGCTTTAATAAAGTTGGTGATAATTTTAAATAAGAATAAAGTTCTGCTTAAGTTTTTTTATTGTTACCTTTGTTAACAACATCGCCTTTAGAACTGGAACCGTAAGTGTTTCTTTCAGACGTCCACAATTTGTTCAAAATAAAAAAAATATTCTTTCTACTGGAGCATTTGTATCAGGGAGACATAAAATATATTCGATTAAAAAAAATTATGTTGAAGACGATTTGCAGGTATATCTTTCCTTTGTACCAAGTCAAACTAACTGGGCTGTTAATAACTTAAATAGAGATCTAACGAAAATCGCCCAGTGGTCAGAAGCCAACACTCTTGTACTCAATCCAGCAAAATCAAAATACATAGTATTGGGATCAAAGCGACAGATAAATAGAATAGTTGCAAATAATCCTGATCTGTGTGTCCTCGGGGAGAAGATAAATCGTATGACTGAAGCTAAGAATCTGGGGTTGCTGATGGATGACGCGCTTCGCTTTGAGAGACACGTGATCGAGATCACACGTAATTGCTTTTACAGACTAAAAGTATTATACCGAATACGTGACTTTTTGAGTGAAGATCTGCGAGTTAAGCTTTGCAACTCCCTTGTACTCTCCAGGCTAAACTATGCCGATACGGTATATGGACCAAGGCTACTTTCGAAAACTGACCGAATAATTCAAAGGATCCAAAATGCTTGTGCCAGGTATATACACCACATTCCCCCACGAACTCACGTCAGTCCCTTTTTAAATAAATCGAAGTTATTAAGAATGTCCCAATTAAGAGCACTACATTTAGCAACACTAATGTTCGGTGTCTTTCAAAACAAAAAGCCCGAGTATCTATTAAAAAAACTAAAATGGCGCAAGGATGGTAATTTTAAGGACATTCGAACAAAATCAAATGTCCTTTCAGTACCAAAACACACAACGGCAGCATTCCGCGGTAGTTTCCGATATGCAGCTACTAAATGCTGGAACAACTTGCCCCCACCTATCCGCCAACTAAATACCATCAGCCTTTTCAAGGTAAAAGTAAAAGAATATTTTTGTCACTAACATTTAGGGCGGATAAAATAGCTGCATTATATTTTCATAGTATTATATAAATATCTATATTGTTTTATTGTATATACTCATTATATTATTTATTATATACATTTATATATACCTACTGCCTAAATAAAGTTCCCATCCTTTTTTGTTTCCATTATTTTATTTTTTTATTTTGATAACATCTTTCTCGAAAATAGAAATAAAGCGAACATACTATCCTCGCGGGCGAGTCCAACCTCAATGGGCATTGCTGAAAACCAACGCTACCGCAATCCTGCGATAGCATTACGTTGAGTCAGTGTCCTTTTCAGCATCACATCACTCATGCAATCGGATCATTTTATGACTGTTTTTTGTTATTTACTGTTATCTTTGATGTTTTTATATATTATTTTATTTTCTGTATCAAAACTGTATGAGTGTATGTTGCTGAATAAATGCATGTCTATGTCTATGTCTATGTCTAAGATTGTTGACTGTGAATACTTCCATCCAACGAGTTACGGGACAATTTTGTGTCCCGGAGCTTTGTTTGGGGACAATGGGACATGTGACTGAGAAAAGGGACAGTCCCGTTCAAAACGGGACGTATGGTCACTTTAGCTATAAACCGGCGACGGCTCCGTGGCGCACTGGCTTAGCAATCAGTTGCTGCACTGGGGGCCGCGGGTTCGAATCCCGCACGGAACAAGTATTTGTATGGCCTACAAATAATTGTTCCGGGTCTGGATGTTTGTCCTTGTGCAATTTATGTTTGTAAACTGCCTCCACGACTCTCATTCTATATTACTCTCACTCTGCGAAACATCCTATTTATTTATTTATTCTTTATTGCACCAAATATTTGTACAAAAGGCGAGCTATCTATCTATTTACCTATAGTGAGTAGGTATCTTTTAAACTCACAATTTTCAATGTTTCATTTTTAATATATAATTAATTATAAATTTTCATAATTAGATAATATTATATGAGATACATTTATCGTTGTACGCTGTGTGTATTTCCATAAAATAGTTTATTGATGTTGAAAAAATACTACGTTCTTACAGTAGGTGGCGCCTTACATATTTCTTACGTGATATTATATTGTAGCGAGTCGGCGCGGCACACCAAATGCTCAAGGTCGTTCGCATGGAGTAGCCCCTTAAGAGGTAATCTTTCGGGAGGCCATGTTGATCAGTGTACCTTGATAGCTAGTAGTAATGGTGATGAAAAAAAATATTGTTGCAGCCAATACAAGGTTGGCTACAAGGGAATTCTTGACAGTTAATGCTATTCCCATGACAATTGGTATGCACATTGAGTTTATGGATAAAAAAGTAACTATGATGATCCTAGAGACGTATGCTAGGACCGTCGTCTTCTCTGT